AAGAGTTCTTTTTTGTTTGCTTATGTATATTGTTTCACAGTTAATATTTATTTTACACAAGGCAATACATGCCCATATTAAACAATGTCGAATAGTACCAAAAGGCATATAATAAAATACAGCAGTTCTCTGGTGTGTGTACCCCTCTCCAGAGGCAACCGCTTTCTTCTGGTGTTTACTTCCATATTTATAAATAATATGCTTAGACTGCTTTTTCATGATTCATCTGTTTTAAACTTTATCTATTGAGACTTCTCATCTTGGTAGATGAGGCATTTGTCTCTGCTCTCCCCTCCCCCACACTTCCTATGTGGCTTCTGAAAGGAGAGCAGAGCCCTGTGCAACATCTGCCAGATGTGAAAGAACCATTTACTGTGAGATAGCAGAAGAGTTATGAGAATCAGGAAACCATCCTGTGATTTCTCACACAGTTAGCACAATGGTAATTTCTGGATGTTGTGTTTCATTAGCAGCCTCTGAATGGAGATGGTTTAAATTTGAGCGGGCAGGATTTAGATGTTTTATTTTTATATCTGTCTCTAACACTCTCAGAGCCATGTGGTTTCTTGGGTTTGTAACAAGCTGTTTTCTGTTGCCCAGGCCCTGGGCTCCTCGTTAGCCCCAGTCCACGTTCCTCTTGGAGGCTTGGCTCCCTTACGAGGCCTTGTGGATGCCCCGCCCTCTGCTCTTCGCGGATCTCAAAGTGTGAGCCTGGGGAGCTCAGTGGAGTCTGGTCAGCTTGGGGAACCCACACTGGTAAATGCTTTTTCTTGCATTCAGTGTATTTAGTTTACTGTGAGGCCTCTGTGTACCATGCTAGGAACTATGGCCCATAAATAGAAAGAGGGGGCATAGGTTGAGTCCTGAAAGCTCATAATCTACTTGGGAAGGTGAGTCACACCTCTGTGATGCTGAAGGTGGAATCTGGGCAGTGGAGGTTAGACCCATGCCATAGAGACAGCAATGCTGCTTTCCCAGTCTGTGCAGGCAGGGCAGTAGGAGTTGGGGAAAGGAGGAATCAGTGTGAGCTGGAGTTACCAGGGTCAGCTTTGTGGATGAGGTGGACTTGCTCTAAACAGAAAGAGAGTGGGGAAAGTACTCTAAAGGTCTTTTTAGCGAGTCCCTTGACTTTCTTTCTCTATTTTTGAGCCTTCACAAGGTCTCAAGACTTCTGCTCATGCAAAGTGTCTCTTGGGCTCCATCCATGAGGACCAGAATGCTCTCAGCCTCCTGGCTTTAGGAGAGGAGACCAACAAGGAGGATGAGGTAGAGAGTGACAACCAGGTAATGCTGAATCCTTTTCCTGGCCTAGAAACCCTCTGTGCTGTATATATTTTTTTGAAAAAATTTTATTGTGGTAAAATATATATAACATGAAGGTTACCATTTTAACCAATTTTAAGGATACAGTTCAGTGGCATTAATTACTTTTACAGTGTTGTACAATCATCACCACTATCCATTTCCAGAACTTGTTCATAATCCCAAACAAACACTCTGTGCCCACTAAACAATAACTCCCCCTTCTCTCCTCTCCCCAGCCCCTGGTAACCACTGATCCACTTTCTTTCTATGAATTTGTCTAGTCTAGATATTTCAAGTAAGGATAATTATACAATATGTGTCCCTTAATGTATGGTTTCTTTTGTGTGGCGTAATGTTTTCAAGGTTCATCCACGTTGTAGCATATATTAAAACTTCATTCCTTTTTATGACTGAACAATATTTTATTGTATGAATATACCACATTTTGTTTATATATCCATTCATCTGTTGATGGACACTTGGGTTATTTTCACCTTTTGTCTAACCTCTGTGTTACTTTGAAAATAAGTAAAAATGGTTTTCCAGTCCACAGCTTCATTTCTTGCCCAGTCTGTATACCTTCCAGGCCAGACTGAGAAAGCATAATCAACAAAGAGCCTCCTGGCCCTCACCCTCGGCTGTCCAGTTTCCTTTGACTTGCCACTCATAATCATTTTTGTTTTCAGAGTGTCTGCAGCTCAAGTGAGCTTCTTAAAAACCTGCACTTGGACATTGGGGCCTTGGAGGGTGACCGTGAGTATGAGGTAAGAGCCCAAAGCCCCTGCAGGCAGACGTCTCAGCCTGCTGTGTCCCTCTTCGATCCTTTAGCCTTTCTTCCTGTGGGATACATATTTGGAAGGAGAACCATTTTGCCCTGTCTTGTTCAGATGGGATTTCTGGGGCTTGGAGAAGCATAAGAGTGGAAAGAAATCTGTCTATTTACTCATTTATCAAATAAGCACCAATTATTGCATGTTTCTACAAGATGAGGCACTTTGCTAGGTGCTGTAGGTCATATAAGCCTACATTAAATGTGATTCCTGCCTTTTAAGAGCTTATAGTCTCAAAAAAGAGAGACTTAAATAACTGGAACACAGAGTAGAATGCAATGAGGCCATAAGGAAGGTAAAACAGAGTACCACGGGAGGGCAGAGTTAGGGACCTCTTGTCCATTAAGATCAACTAAGAAAGGCTTCATTGAGAAAATGACATCTGAGGTGAGTCAGGAAGAAGGGTGGGCAAGACTAGACAAGCAGAGGTGAATGGTGAGAGAGAAGTCCAATGGGTGCTGCAGAGGCAGAGGCAGAGATGTGGGGCAAGTTTGGGGAAGATGAGGTGTCTGCTTTGACTGGAGTTCAGAATGTATGTGGGAGAGAAGTGACAGATAACACTGTGGAGGTAGATTGGGCTGGATCGTGGAGGACCAAGTGCCAGCTAAGAAGTTTGGATTGGATTACACAGGCATTGGGAGTCATCAGAGGTTTTGAACTGAGGTGTAACATCATCTGGATTCTTAACATTTGTCGAATGCTGCTTGCGTAGCACGCCATTGTGCTAGGCACCATGGGAGATACAGGGATCGGTAAGATATGGGTCTGGGCTGGCCTCAAGGAGTTTGCCGTTGAAAAGAGAAAAAGGACACTAGGTACTTGGCATTTTGTAGGTGTTCAGTAGATGTTGAGTAAATGAATATTTAGGAAATTATAAAGTAGGGCAGCATGCATAAAGAACTATAGCACAGGTATACTGTTTGGAGGAGTTCTGAGGGAGAAGAAATTACTTCCCTAGAGATCAGGGAGACTTAGTGGAAGAGATGACATTTGACCAGGGTCTTCAAGAATGGGTAAGTTTTGGATGTGGGGAAAGATGTAAGAGATATTTTAGACAAGTGAACAGCTTGAGCAAAGGCACGAAGCCTGGGAAATGAAGAATACAATTGGGAATAGATTCTGGAATTACCCACCTCTGTTCCCAGTAGTCCTGTTGCTTCTGATCTCTTCCTCCGTGATCTGTCTTTCACTGTCACCGAAATATTCTTCATAAAAAAACAAACAGAACCCAAAACTCATCATGTTGTTGTAAAACCTAAAAATTCTAATGCATCTTTGTACTTGAAAAGGAACATTTCCTACTATATGTACTTTGGTGTTCAGTTTATTCATTTTTAACAATTAACATTTCTCGAAATATTCCCAGAATATTCGCACAACTCATAAATCATGAGGTCAACAACTCAGATTTTCTACAACATTTAAATATTGATAGCAAGCTTAATTAAGCTTCACAATCTAATATACCAAATTCTTTTAAATATTTTAAACACTTTAAAATAAAATAGATCACTCGCATTTTATTAGAATGATCAAAAAACTGAGCAGTAAAACAATAGTGCTCATATCATGGATTTAAATTTGTTTCCTTATTATCTCTTATTATTATGTCATTATAATCTCTTATCATGTTCCTGTTATCTCTGACTCTTTTTTCTTGGTCTTCAGCTCCCCTGGTGAGCCAGATTTAACATCTCAGGCTGGCTGAGGTTGTAGATGTGGGCTGACAGGCCCCAAGTTGTATGCTGGCCTTCCCAGATGACCCAACTCTAGCCATTGCAGGCTCCTTTTTATAGTTAGGCTTTCTCTATTACCTCAGAGACCGTCCATATTTTTGGCTCTGCATAATTGGATGTTTTGATTGTGATTTGAACACTGTCTTCCAGATGTGACACTTTTCCCCTAAGTGTCCCATCTTTATCATCAACTTTATCTGTGTCTACTTTGAAACTCTTTGGAGTGGGGCCTGGTCTGCTTGCATTAAATCTAAAACCTTTAATCTCTTTGCTTCTCTGAAATAATAGCTTTGTTTCTTCTTATCTACCATTAAGACCTTATGATACTGATAGAGCCTAGAAGGATGACCATGAATAAGAATGGGATGTCAGGAGGACTTACTTTTGGAGAAAGAGGATAGCTTTCACAAAACTGAGCAAATTGAGAGTAGAGATTCTATTCATGTCTATATGTCCAGGACCTGGCCCACTGCCCGGAACATAGGAAGGATGTGGATAAATTTTGCTGAGCAATCGAGAGAATGAATAGGTGAATGAGTGAACGAACTATGCTGAGACAGGGAGGCTATCCTGGCAGATTGCACTGTGCTTTTTTCTTCCCTTGGCTTTCCCATGTCCTGAGTAGAGTGGGTACTTTGTCCCTGATGTCAGCTGGTAGACTGAAGATCCCAAAGTAGATTGATCACGATGAATTTGATGAACTTGGACTTTGGGCTAGTTAATTTTTATTTAATAATGGGTTATAAATGTCAAGAAAAAAAGGGATTTTCGTCTTTGACATGTCCTGGATTTCTAAAGGGTTCCTTTCTGATGATTATATATTTTTTTTGGTGATTGGAAACTTTTAAACATATTTCTTATAACCTCTTATTATAAATAGGCAACCCAGTGTGATGGGGGAAAATGTCTGGAGTGGGAGATGTATTTAACACCTCCCACCCCTGTCTCTAGCATCTCAACAGATTTAGTTCTTTTTGCCACATGGAATATTGGATTCCTGTGTTCTAACCTCAGGCAGGAACTAGGGCTTTTCCTGGCAGGAAGGGTTCATGGTGGGGATGAATAAAGGGTTTCAGGACTTGACAAAGCTGCCTGTGCTTGGACCATGCTCTTTGAAAATGGCTTTTGTTCAGGTTTATAAACCTTGGATCCTCTGGGCTGCTCACCTCTTTCCACTCCTGGGCATCCTAGGTAGCCCTAGATGGAGAGCTCCTTCCATGGTTTGTTCTATCCTGTCTCACCGTCAACAGTCACTTTGCTCATGATTCCATGAGAGGGCAGTAGGATGGCAAGAATGCCTCTCTCTCCCCTTCCCCCTCCTCTCCTACCTTCAACTTAAATCCATTTCTAGTCTATTACAGAATCAAAAGGGATAGGTTTTTTGAAACAGACACTGAGAATGAGTGTGAATGAAAGAGGGAGGCTGAAGGATAGTGGAATAGACCTGTGGCCTTGTGGAGCTGGTATAAAGCCTATCAGCTGATCAAAGGAGAGGGAGGGAGCTGGGCTTAGAAATAACAGGATGATGTCAGCGTGACTGGAAAGTGCTAACAACACCCGGGAGCATGCAAAGAATTGAGACCAACTGGGTAGGAATGAAATGTAGAAAATAGACTGGACTGATGGTTGGCTTCGTAGAGGTCTCCCCAGAACAGGATCTAGGTGTGGACATCGTGTTCAGCATGCCCTCCCTCCTGAGCTGTGTAGATTATGGGAATGAGCCCTGGTTTTTGTGCTCTGGGCTGGAGGAAGGTAATTGCAGTATTGGGGGGCCTCATGGCTGTTAGGGGGTATGTTAAATATTTATGAAATGGTTTTCATAGGCACTCTACTGCATGCCTTCCTCATGCAGGTGGCAAGGTCTTTTTTGAAAAAGCAGCAGAAATTTGCCTTGAGATTGTTGTAGCCGCCAGCCCCCGAAAGACACACGGACCACCAGGAATTAGTGAGTCATAGGAATCACACTCTTTATTCAGCCAGCTGGGTCTGCCAGGGGTACGCAGACCCCAAATTAAGCAGCCCCGAAATGTAGAGGTATAGGGTTTTTAAGCCCTAAATCCCATTCCTCATTCTGTCTTAAACACAAAGGTCTATTTTTCTCCTATTCACTACCTGTCAACCCACAGGTCGGTTGTGCAAGCGGAGGTACAGAAGCAGAAAGCTTATTGTTAGAATGTTATGTTCCCATGGGTGATAGCCTATGTTCCCATGGGCGATAGCCAAGCAGTAATTTTCTAGCCAGCACAAGATACTCAAGGACCTGGGACTGTGACAGGAGGAGACAGGAGGAGTCTGAGCACAAAACTGTGCCGAGGGTGCAGTCCCCTGCCCTTGCCTGTGTATCCCATAGAGCACAGACGTAGGAGGCTACGCTGGAGCCTGGAGTGTGTATCCTGGGCAGGGCCTCAGGCCTTGGGCCCCGTGATGGGATGAGGAGCAGGGGCCCATTGAAAAGAGAGGGGCATATTGTCCAGCGGGTTTTGTAGACATTCATCTTTCATTCATCCATTTGTAGATAATCTACAACAAATGTCTAGTCTCCCTCAGCTGTACTTCCAGATATACTTCTGGCTGTCTTGTCATTTGCAGTTAGTTGACATGGATGCAGAGAATGCAAGCTCATTTGTTTTAATATTAACCATGTTTTAATATTTCAGTGTTTAGGTAGACAGAAGAGGATAAGCTCCATCATGGGAAAATAGTCTTTTGAAGAATTCAGGCTGGAGAATGGCTTAGACTGAGCCTAGCATTATTGTAGTCTGGCTGTATTCTCTCATGTATAAGATTGGGAATCTCTGCCTATATCTGGTGTCCGCTCAGTTTTGATAGGTTACTTGTATTTCCATCATCTTGAATATGAATAGTTAACATTTGTTTAGCTATTTTCCATTTAATAAGCACTATAACAAATATAGTCTAATCCCTGTATAACCCGGTAAAATGAATGTTACAGCTCTATTTTGTAGAGTAGGAACTCTTACCAATATCTTCATGACACACTTTCTCTTATTTATTTACCTATGTAGTAGCAGTGTTAATTTCCAGACCTCTCGTCCTGTTTCCCTTCCTTCAGAGTGGCCTATGAGTTCAGTTTATTCAAAATGAAGCTGTCTTATCCACAGTTTAGCAAATGTCTGTGTAGTCTTTAAAGTTCATTGTTTAAAATTCCATCAGCAGTATTTACTGAGCACCTGTTATATGCCAAGCACTGAGGATAATAGGGAGCTGATCTGGTGAGGGGAAACAGACAAGGAAATCAGCAATTACAATACAATAGTTGTTAGGAAAGAGGTTGCAGAAGGCTTATCTCAGAACAGGACAGGACAGCTACCCAGGGAGGAAGGAGGGCTTCCTGGAAAAATGTGATGCTATGAGGACTAGTGGGAGTTTGTCAGGGTAGAGAGCATGTGTGTGTGTGTACATGTGTGTGTGTGTTAAGAATGTATATGGCAAAATAGTGAAATAGCATGATTATTCACAGGCAGGAGGAATGGATATATCCAGGGTGTGGCTAGAGATGACTCATGAGAAGCAGGTAAGGGCTGGGCCATGCGAGGAGATGTGAACTTTATCCTGAAGGCCATGGGTACTGTTTGTGGTCTGTCTGTACCTCTTCTGTCTCCTAATCCAAGGTCTGCTGCCTTTAATTAAGCATGAGATGAGCATGGCCAGGTAAATTGGCCCTGCTTTTAGTAAGCGAGGGAGTGTGGCTAGCCAGACACCCCTCACTCACCCTGAGAAACTCCCACCTCTTTGGAGTCCTTGGAGCCCCACATACCAGTTATTGAGCTCCTGTTGAGTGCTGGCCACTGTTGGGGATACTGAGATGAGGTGGCTTGCCTCACCCTAAAGATGCTTGTCTTGAAGAGGAGTTCATCTTGCGCCTTTCTCTTAACCCAGTGATCATGGCAGATTTCTTTCATACTACAGGTAAGGGATGTTGGGAGGATGGGCAGCATTGGAAGCTGCCCTGCCTTCATGTTTTTCTTCTTGGGATAGGCTTACAGGCTGGTGACCATGTCACACTGTGTCCAGTGCCCTTTGCTTAGGGCAGTAAAGGCTCGTAACTAGGGCCACCTGGGACATTTTACTTTTCTCCATATTCACCTGAATTCCTTGAGGGCAAGATATATGTCTTGTTCGTATTTTGGTTCCCAAGACGGTGTTTGGCACATAGAAGGTGCTTAGTGAATGAACATGTTGGTCTTATCATCTAACATTAGTTAACATTTAGAGAACACTTATGGTATGCATGTCACAGTTCTCAGTTCTTTAATTCAGGGGTCCCCAATGCCCAGGCTGTGGACTGGTACCGGTCCATGGCCTCTTAGGAACCAGGCCGCACTGCTGGAGGTGAGTAGCAGGCAAGGGAGCAAAGCTTCATCTGTATTTGCAGTCACTCCCCAGTGCTCGCATTACTGCCTCAGCTCCACCTCAGATCATCTGGCATTAGATTCTCATAGGAGCACTGGTCCCTGGCGCCAAAAAGGTGGGGACCGCTGCTTCAACTCAATGAGTGTTAACTCATGTAATCTTTCCAGTAACTCTATGAGATAGGCTTTACTTATTCCCGTATTTTAGAGGAAGAAACTGAGGCACAGAGAAGTTAAATATTATTCGCCTAAGGTCACTATAAGCTGGAACCAAGATTTGAACCTAGGTAGTCTGTCTCTGAAGCTGAGCTCTGAACTGCTTTGCTTTCCTGCCTCTCTCTAATGGTCCTGGGAAAGTTTGAGTTGGCTTGTCAGTAGGCTGCCAGACATGCAGGCAGGTGGTCATGTCTTTGGGTTCAACAGATCCTTTAACCGATAGCATCAATGAATGCTATGTTAAGGCTGCTCCTTGGACCTTTGGACTCTGGTCATCATGCTCCTCGTTTGAGTTTCCAGGGTAGGGAATCAGGAAGTCTCAAAAATCCTTGCTCAGAAGTTGTTCACACTGGCAGCCCAAGTGTTAGCACAGATATCTTCTGGGAGGAAGGTTTCTCTGCCTGAGCCCAGGAGAGATCGCTGGCTACATTTCCAAGGGCGGGTGCAGAGTCTTTCTTTTTTTTTCTATTTTGGCCAGCTCCAAAGGTTTTTCCTCGTCTTTAAAGTGTGGTTTGTGTGTGTGAGAGAAGCAGGTGTGGCAGCTGTGGAGATGTGTACCCTATATCTCCTTTCAAGAGACCCTGGTGAGGGGACCTTAGTGGATTGGCAGCCTCCAGCTGCTACACCTTTGTTTCACCCTGGCTCATGCCAAAGCCATACTTATTGATGGAGCACAGCAGGCCCTAGAGCAGGGCCATTTTTGCCTGATGCAGGACCCCCGCCGGGCTGGCCAAGACATTTCTCAGAACTGTGCTGTGGCCTGAGGCTCTTCTTACTCAAGCCCCCTCCTACCCTCTCTCCTGTCTGCAGGTCTCAGACCTATGTTCTAAAGCAATGTTCTAAAGCAGGAGTTCCCAACCCCTGGGCTGAGGACCAGTACCGTTCCAGCCTCTGTTAAGAACTGAGCCGCACAGCAGGAGGTGAGCGGCAGTCCTTCATCTATTTGCAGCCGCTTCCCAGTGCTAGCCTCATGGCCTCAGCTCCACCTCAGATCATCAGGCATTAGATTCTCTAGGAGCACTGGTCCCTGGTGCCAAAAAGGTTGGGGACCGCTGTTCTAAAGGCTCTCATATCTTCTTTATCTTTCATAGACATTTCCCCTCATAAATTGTTTATACACCTAATCCCATCTTGGCATCTACTTCTCAGAGGACGCAGTTGATGTCCTCTGATGGAGGACCTGTCACTAGGGTTGCTTGTACAGGAGAGACTTCAGGGAGAGAGCATCATGCATTGCTATTGAGGAAGGGCACCCTCCTGATATTTTTTCCCTGCTGCCTTTTAAAAATGAAAAATAGAAATTCTAGACTTTGGTACTTTAACGTGATTCTCCATTAGCATCATTGTAAATAAATGTTGACTTCTGAGTTTGCAATCTTCTGATTTGGCAGTTGGGGCCGGGATGAGACAGATTTACCCCTCGAGGAAGTGGGAGGTGGTGATGGAGTTACACAGTCCAATGCGGTGGTTTCCAAGCCCATCAGTGGACTGGGGTCAGGTGTGGCATATCCAAATCTCCATCGAGTTCAAACTCAGTAGGCCTGGGGTGGGCCCTGGGAATCTGTGTTTTAAAAGGCTTTTGGGGTATTTGATTGATACCATTAGTGTCAGAACTAGAGTACTGGCCTATAGGAATCAAGGAATGGCTGCTCTGGCTTGTAGCAAGTCTCTAACTTCTTTTAATTAATTTCTGACATCTTCCTTCCTGACATGGTCTGCTGCTCTGCAGGAGTCTCCAAGAACAAGCAAGCCAGAAGAGAAGAAGGATGTCTCTCTTGATGCAGATGCTGCCCGTCCCCCTACTCCAGGCAAGCTCTTCAGCCAAGGTGCAGACAGCAGCCTGAGCAGTGCCAATGGCAAAGGGCTACAGGGAAGAGGGGAAAGTGCTTGGCTCCCAGGAAAAGAAAAGAATGACAAGAATGATTCTGTGAGGTCCAGGAGTCTGGCGGACTCTGGAGGCGATGAGCCTGCTAAAGCCAATAAAAAAGATTCACCAGAAGACCCAGTGGCTGCAGGAGAGGAGGATTCCAGGAAGGAAGAGGAAGCAAAGAAGCCAAAGAAGGAGGCTTCTGTTCTGAAAGAGAGTGGATCAGAAGCCAATGAAGTAAGTCACTTTGTCCCACATGGAGTTGCTGGCTGCAACCCTCTTCCGCTCTCTTTGAGCCCTGTGGAGGTTCCTGTCCCCAGATCTTTGTTACTGAGGCAGGAGCTTCATTTGTAGGCCTGTAGTGGGCTGTCAACATCAGCAGAACCTTTAATTGTGACCGATATGCCCAGCCACAGGAGGCAAAATCCTGAATGAAACTCCAAACTTGTTGGCTCTAGTAATTCAGAGCAGGAATTTGCTTTTCCATTGGCACCCTCCTGGGATATTCATGTTCTTCTCTTCTACTTATTTCCTCTTCCATTTCCTGCTTCCCCTTCTACTTCTTGACATCAGTTTGGAGTTAGTCATGGTTACAGCAATCTGAGTTCCTATAGACAGAGGAGAACATGGAGCGGGGCGGGAGAACATGGAGAGTTCCTGCCCCAGCACCTGTCAGTTAGGTTACAAGAAGGCTCTTCATTGATTTCTGTGGCTCCTTCTGAACCAACTCAAGATACAGAAGTCTTGCTATGGCAAGACCTAGCCAGTGACCCAAATGGACAGAAGTAGGACCCAGCAGGGAGTGCCTTTGGCATTTTCAATTGTCCAACCCTTAGTCCTGCTCCTCCTCTAGGTAGATGGTGAGGAAATTAATTTAAAGAGCTTTTAACTACTTCCTGGAAAAGATACTCTCATTGTGCTTTTTTTTTTTTTTTTTAAAGGATAGCATCAAACTTCCCTACCGCCAACTTTTAACCCTCTCCACTCCACTCCACTCCACTCGCCTCTCCTTACACATGTAAATCCCTGTACTGAGCTGGGCTGCCCAGCCTGACTGGACTGAAGGCTGGTGCATGCTTTCCAGAAGAGATAGATTTTCGTTTGGGTTTAGCAAACGAAATGTATTGGCATTATGGCCTGAATGGAATTCCCTGAAGTGATCACGCCCCTCTGTGCTCTGCTCTGGCTGACTTTTCTGTGGGTCTGTTTCCCCAGGAGTCGGAGATTAGCGAACATGTGAAGGAACTACAGTTCTCAGACTCCGCTGCTTCTGACCCCAAGTCCCTCCTTGGCCTGGTGAGTCTGAGATGAGGGACAGCAGAGTGGTGGACTTGTGGGTCCCTGTGCTTAAGTAGTTTGCCTAAAATCACACATCTTGTAAATGGGGAAGTTGGGATTCAAACTTAGGTCATGTCTAACTGCAGTTTCTCAGCCAATTAATTAAGGACAACATTACCTATTTTATTAGCTTGTTATAGGAAAAGTGGGTAAAGGATGTAAAACGTTAGCATATAAACATTAAATCAGTGTTGCTGTTATTACTGTTACTGCTGTGTGAATTACCTGTGAGGTTACGTGAGATTATTGCCTCTGGGCACTTGCAGGAACAATACATGAATCTAAGAGTTTAGAGACTGGTTGTGTATGCATGTGTGTATGGGATCACTGAGCTATGGTAAGGACCAGTCTTCAGGCTCTGGCTAGGAACAATGCTGTGGTTTCACTTCTAGAGTTAAGAGTTTGACCTGGAATGCTAACATCCATTGTTTCTTTGTCCCAGACCTTCCACCAGGTCTGCTGTATCCCGGCTTCATTTGCCAGGTCTGTATCTAAGGGGAGTAGTTTGGGGTGCTTTTTGGCAGAGCATTACCTCTAGAAATCATGCTCCATCTGTTTGGAAGAGGCAGATCAAAGGGAAGGGATTAGTGGGAGAGAGTCAGGGATGAACAGTAATGATATGAGGGAGTGCAGAGGAATTAGGAGGCTGTGTGCTCTAGCCCCTCACTGAGCCATGGGCTGAGGAGGCAGATGGCAGCTGCATTAAATGGAGTAGAACTCAAACTGAAAGGAAAATGTCACCAAAAAAGAAAATTTATAAGCTGGGGATGGAAGGCAAAAACCATCATGAAGAATAGCTATGTCTCAGAATTCTTGGAAGCAAGGGCTCTGGCCCTTCTGAAGGAGTCACTGTGTGGAGAAATGTTCCCATTTGTATTTTTCTTTTCTATGTGAGTGGGCGGAGGAAGCCATGGACAGCAGGACCAGACCTTGGCTGGGCTCCTTCCATTTTTCAGGGCTGATGACAGAACTATCTCTAGTAGCATGCTGTCAGGTAGCAATCCTTCACTTAGCCCAGCGGCGATCTTAGGCATGGAGGGGGTGAGAGCATGGTTCTGTGGCAGCCAAAGGGTAGCGGGGAGCTGGCATTTGTGTGGGCACTTGCTGCCCATCCCAAAGAGAAGCCTGTGGAGAAAGTGCTGCTGATTAATCCCCATTGTCCAGAGGGGCACCTTTATGGACAGGGGGAAAGAACAAGCTGGAAGGAGCCTACCAAGCCTAATTTCTAAGCTGCCCACAGGTATTCTGGCACTTTGGAGAGACAGCTGGAAAGTGACATGCTTTGCAGCATGTGACATGCAAAGAGCTTGGGCTTTGGAGTCTGCTCAGGGCACATCTGCCTGCAACCCCATTGTTTATCAGCTGTGTGACCTTGGGCAAATGACACATGCTCTCAGACCTTCCTCAACTGGAAGATGATGCTAAGGAGTATCAGTCTCACAAGGTTATTTTTCCTCCATAATTTTATTATGAAAAATTTCAAACATACAGAAAAATTAAAAGAATTTTACAGTGACTGTCCACATACTCACCACCTTGAGTCTACAGTGAACATTTTAACATATTTGTTTTATCTTTCCATCTAGCTATGGCATTATTTTGAAGATTAAAATAATTAGTACATGTCAAAATATTTAGCACAGTGCCCGGCACATAGTAGGTGCCTTTCTGGAAGGTTGATGGAGGAGAGGCCCTGATGGGTGCTTACTGTGATGGAGGCAGAGATGACCTCCTTGTCTCCATTGTCTCTAGGACTTCGGTTTTCGCAGCCGGATCTCTGAGCACCTACTGGATGTTGACGTGCTTTCCCCAGTCCTGGATGGAGCCCGCTGGGAGGTGAGTCTCACTGGGTGATCGGCTGGAGCTTCACTTTTTGGGATAACCCAGAGCTGAGCCCATCCCATCCCAGGGTACATTTCTGAGAGTTCCTTGCCTTCTAATTCACTAAGGCATGGCCCTGACTCTACCTGTGATGGGGCTTCTGACCGTTCCTGCTCTGTTGCTATGAATCAGGTATCCCCGCACCCACATTTATCTGTTTATCCATTCATTTAGCAACTGAGGATTGACCACGTGCTCATGTGAAAAGCACTGTATGATTGTGGATTTCAAGGCACTTCCCAGCTTGGCCCATTCAAACTTTGCAGCCTCATCCTCAGCCCACCTGGCAGGCACCAGCTGTGCCCAGCACTCACCATTCCCTGGGCACCATCACCTCCACTACTCTGCCTGCTGTGCTCCTTCTCCTTTTGTCCCAGCTCTTTTTTGGTCTTGGAGGCTCACCTCTGACAACACTTCAAAGCAGGATGAATCGTTCCCTCCCTTTGCCTCCCTTAGTACTTCCTCTGTTTTATGATTCTTTATCTCCCCTGCCCCATAAAAGCTCTGTGCAGGCATAGGTGACTTCTGACCCAAGGTTGACAGAGACACAAATCCTGGCCATAGGGAGCTGTTATGAGAAGAAACTGGAGTAAAGAATGTAAAATATTAGCATATAAATATTAAATAAACATAGCTATTATTACTGTTACTGCTGTGTGAATTGCCTGTGAGGTCATGTGAGATCATTGCCTCTGGGCTCTTGCAGGAACAATACATGAATCTAGGAGATTAGAGACTGGTTGTGTGTGCGTGCATGTGTGTATGGGATCACTGAGCTATGGCGAAGACCAGTGCTCAGGCAGGCTATGGCCAGGAAGGATGCTGTGGTTTTATTTTCAAAGGTGAGACAAGAAGATCATTTTTTCCTCCTCTGTGGGTTTGTTAAGAGAAGGGAGATTCTGGCAGATGGTCTCTGCAAATTTAAGGGAGCAGTCGAGCGAAACAAATTTGTTGGGTGAAACAAACAAGATGTTTAATGTGAGTCAAGACTGGGAGCCCTTAGTGAAATGAGTAGGAGACAGGGTAGAGCTGTGAGGCCGGTCGCATTTGAACCTGACACGTTCCTCAGCTCTGGCTGACAAGTCTCCTGGGCCAGGAAGTCTCTGCTGCACCTTGGTCACCCCCATTTGCAGCACTGGAGGGTTATAAAGGAACAGACTATTGCAGGTAGGATCAGTCAGGAAGGGCATGGAGCAGGTGAATTGTGAGTCACTTTTGGTAGTAGGTAAGCAAGGAAGTTACCTAGTTGGCTGGGCAGGGTATATTTCCATTTCTCTGGCTCCAAAAACTGACCGTTATTAGAATATTTGGGGGCTTTAAAAAAGACAGATTTCTAGGTTCTGCCTAAAACCTAATGAGGTCAGCAGCCTCTTTTTGAGTCATGCCACTTGATATAAAGCAGTAGCAGGGCCTGGTTTGGATTTGGTTCTCACGAGGCACCCTTTGCCAGCCCTGGCAGAGGAAACCTTAAGCGATATCTCATGACTAGCACATTAGGGCATGGAGCAGTGCTGGACACTCAGGTTGGCTGACCACACAGAGCATGGAGAGGCTGAGAAGGGAGGTGGAGCTGGAGGACTGAGCAGCAGCCTCTTTGTGGGGCAGACTGAACTGTAGGTGCAGTCTCCTTTGTCTTTCCTGTGGGCTCCTACCCATGTCCTATATTCTCTGGATCTCTTCCAAGGCCAAAGCCAGTGCAAAGGCTTAGAATTGAGCTCAACAAGTTTTTGTTCACTTAAAAAATTGTATGCAGTTTTATTGAGATATAATTGACGTATAATAAACTGGACATATTTAAAGTGTACCATTTGTTAAGTTTTACCATGTGTATACTTTTCAAACCATCACCACAGACAAAATAATGATTATGATCAATTATAAACATGATGAATTTTTAATAAATTACAAAAATGACTATAAAATTATTTCAATAGTATAAAAGGTCGAAGTCTTCTGCTTCCTACAGCATTACTCCCACAGGTGGAGACTATTAACAGTTTCTATTAACATTTTTCACATGCCTTTCCAGAAAATTTTCTGCGTACATCCTAGCATATATCTATTTTCTATTTATCTTTTCTCTTCCCAGAAAAATTCAGACTGTGTTACAAAAACTGCTTGGCAATATGGTCTTTAAATTTGAGGATCAAATTTAAATTTTACTTATTTCTAAGTTATTTCAGATCTACCTTACTCTTTTTATTGGTTCCAGAGCATTCTGCTTTATAAATGCATTGTGATTTATTTAAATGGTGACTGGACCATTGACAAAACGAAACCTCGAAGCTGAGTTAAGAACGGAGGAATGGTGTCTTAAGCAATGTTAGGCTAGAGGCTGAGAACATACTCGCTGTCTCTCCTTTCTGAAGAGTACTGACATAGATAATTTCCTTGTCTGGTTCTTTTGATTCCTTCCTGGGCAAAAAGGTCTAGGGATCAAATGAAACTACTCGAAGGACCTCTGTCTGGGCACTTTCCCAAGGTATCCCCTTTTCTCTAGCAGGGGTTTCCGGCAGAAATATAGGAGATGAATCAAGAAAGGAACAGACATTGTAGTTAGTTTTTTCTGACTGAGGGCTCAATACCCAAATTGTTATTACGACCACCTCACTTTGTTATCCATCAACTTTTAGTTTGTTAAATAGATTGGCCTATGTGATTTTTTTTTTCTTGAGAAGTGAGATAGGGAGCTATTTGTGGAACTTGGTGTGATTTGTAGGGAAGAGAAGTTTTGAGTTGAACACTGGAAGGGACTAGAGCTGAGGTGGGAGGAGGCTTTCAGGCCCCTGCTGTTGTCTGCGGGCTCTGCCCAGGCTGATGCCATTAGGAGTGGCAGCACTGGCAGGGAGCCCTTCTGCTGCGGGCACCAGGAGGTACTTACAGGCAGCATTTCTATTTTTAATGTAATTTGGGGGAGCTGGCTTTTAGTTCAGGCTCTGCCCTTCCTCACCCATCCAGATGGCAGAGTCGGCCACAGCTGCTGGGGCTCAGACTGCCAGTGGAGAGGTGTGGAGGGCTGTGGGCACAGGGCTGAAGGCACAGCAGTGTGCCAGCTAGGCCAGAACCCCACTGAGGAAGATAGAGTGAGTTGTCTCCTGCCCCACTGCTCCTGTTAACCCTTGTGTTCCAGAACAGACGGGGCTCCTGTCAGTGTGACAGAAGGAGTGCAGGTCCTAGAATGGGGACTGGCACTGGCAAGGAGTTTTTTTTTTGTTTGTTTTTGTTTTTGTTTTTGTCCTTAGGCTGGGAGAGCAGGAACAAGTGTGAGTAGAGGAGCTAACATTTGCGGCAGCCTTCTTTGGGCCAGGAGTCAGGGGTTATGTACATAATCTAATTTAATCCTCACCTAAAGCCTTGTGAGCTCTGGTTTACTATGCTATTGTCTAGCGGAGGAGACAGACTCCCCAGGCAGAAAATGCTAGAACAGATGATGGAGTTTAGGCTGACTTCACTACTATATCCTATGGCCCCACCCCTGCAGAAAATATTCGAACTTATCAAGAATAGTTCTCTTTTTCACCAAATTTGTCCAGATGCCCAAGCTATAAAATGAGATTTGTTCTTTGTTTTTGTTTTTTGTCTTTTGGATAGGTGGTACAATCTCTGACTGGAAAGGGGGCATCATAGTCCACTGATGGGTGCTGGGTGCTGGGGGGAGCTCAGAATGGAAAATAGGAACACTTTGTCTTTCTTCACATGCCCTGATGGTACCAGTTTCATCTGGAGTACAGCACTCTCTCGTTTCACCAAGTCTCCATCTCTCCAGGACCCTTCCTCTTTAATGTACTTGTCTGCTCACTTTATTTCAGCCTCCCTATAAATCATTGACACTGGAGATCTGGGGCCTCTGTAGATGTGGGGTGTTCATGAATTTTTCTGCTTTCTCCTTATAAATGGCAGTGAAGCCTTCCAACTGCAGGAGACAAGGATTTTTTTTTTTTTCTTTCCTGTGTGTTTTCCTTCAGCCTACAGCTTCTGGCTCTGCTTGTAGTGGCTATGGTGTCTGACTCACCCTCCCCAGACCAGCAAGGCCAGCCCTGGAGCAGCTGTGAACCTAGGGGCTTAGCCAGAGCCCCAGGAGGCTTTATTGTACAGTAAATGGGCTGCCTCTTCTGTATCCCGAGTGGTTTTCACCCACTCAAGAGCCACTTCTCAGTGCTTTCTCCGAGGCATGGGAGTCAGTTGGAGGATTGAGGGACCACATATAGGCCTCTCTAATATACACTTTCCACTGCTACTGCTTACAGGCCCAGAGATTGAGAAGAGAAGACAAGGATGACAGCCAGTCCAGCCAAGATGAGCTGCAGAGCATGCAGTCCAAAGGCTTGGGGAGGTACAGTATGTGGGAGGCTGCCCTCAGGGGCCTTTATGTGTGTGGGCTTGGGCAGAATTCCTGGTTTTGGTCTGCAAGGCTCAGTGTGGTCCTGCCTGAAGGAGATGATAAACTGACTGGATGGCCTTGTAAAGAGTTTGTGTGTGTGTGTGTGTGTGTGTGTGTGTGCGCGTGTGTGTGGAGGGGGGAGAGAGAGAGTGAGAGAGTGTGTGGAGTGCACGCGCAAGCGAGCGAGCTCGACCTCAAACCCTCTGATTCTGTACCAAGACAGGAATGTGAAGTGCTGCTGGATGCCTTTGGTGGGACTTTGTGCACGTTAACATCAGTATGGGGCCAGGGCTTTGTCCTTGTTGCTGGATTGGATTAAGCTGCATTTGTGCCTGGTCATGGGCCAGTACTGGAGTCATGGCAAAGGATCAGTTCTGCAACTCAGAGCTCTGATCAGGGCCCTGCTACCTCAGAACTGGCTGCGGTGTGTGAGTGTAGTGTAGTGTAGTGTAGTGTGGGAGTAGGGAGCTTCCAGCTTCTCAGGCATGAACTCGTGATAAGAGAAGGGCTGTCACTCCGGAAGGGGAAGATGAGGAGTCATTCTACTTTTTGGACCTTTAAAAGCTATCAGCATTCTTTCTTAGAGCTAGAACTTCATGCATTTTCTATAGTCTGACCACTCAAGTTTGACTTCTTTTTTTCTCCCTAATTTCTGCTCAGTTATTCCATCCCTCTGTGGCCCCAGTAATTTTGAATTAGCTCTCACTTCCAGGCTAAGCATAAGCAGCACAGGGACCTGGGAAGACTGAGTCTAGTCCAGGCAAAGGGAGCGCTCAGTTGCTCAGTCGAGAGTCTCTCCTTCCTGCTTTTCTGGCTGCTTTGCCCTCTGTGGCTCCGTGTGGATGTGGGGCTGGGGTACAGCTTGGAAGGAGGAATGGATCTAGGTCCACACACTATACTCCTCAGTCTCATTCTGCCCTTCAAATGGAGGGGCCTGACTGCTGCTCTGGTTGGCTGACCAGGTTGTCTCCTCCACTTCTGCTTGGGGAGCAGCTCAAGAGTCCTCTTCACAGCCAGGCCTCTGAAGAAGGGCCTCCGCAGGCCCCTGCGGGACAGCCTGAGTGGAAGGGGCCAGCGGAGCCCAGGGAGGAATCTGCAGGCAGCCCCGTCCCGCCTGTTTCCCTGCAGAGGTAAGGATGAGTGGGAACCCTCTTGGGGTGGTAGTGGGGAGAGCTGGGATGAGTTTTCAGCCCAAGCAGCAGCAAGAGAAGTTTCTTTCTGCTGAGTGTCCCATGTGAGCTGGGAAATGAGGAGATCGGCCTTTTTCTAGTCATCGGTCTACAGCTAAAGTTGGGGTGCACAGCCTGATTAGGGGAGCTTAGAAACTCTTGAACTAAGAAGGGTCTCTTCTGACCCAACTACCTCCCTGCCAGGGGCTGGGCAGAGACTGCTGTTACCCAGGATGCGTAGGTCCTGCTAGGAGGACCATTTCTCCCAGTCTCCCCACATCAGCCCTTCGCACCCAGTAGTCATCCCACCTCTAGTTCAGCAACCCCCTGTAGAGCCCTGTTGTGTGCTAGGTCCTATGCTGAGGCGGGTGCAGAGACCTAGGCTTCCCTGAGGCCAGCTGAGAGGACCTTTGTGCCCCAGCCTGGTCCAGAGCCTGGTGTATATTTGCTAGTTCTGTTCTGGCAAACAGAAAGCTGGTCTTAGAGCTCATCCAGTTGGAATGAGTCACTAGGGGAAGTTGAGCAGCAGCGATGTTCAATCACCAGCTTCCACTGAACACCTGCTGTGTGCAGAATTTCTCCTTGGGCCCCATAACCATTCCATGTCCCACGTGGGACATGAATATCTGGTCTTCATTGTAAACAGCTTGGGAAGAGGCAGGGAGTGGAAAGTGAGATTTAAGACCTGAGATAGAGAAGCTGTTAGGGCTGCCTGTGTTGTCCCCATTACAGCTCTTTGACCCCGAATGAGGTACATCTGGAGTCTCTCACCTTTCTCCTGGCTTTAACACATTTGCTTCCTTATTGGTATCAAGGGAGGAGATCCCAAGCCCATCTGCCGCCTATAAGAGGGGCAAGGATCAGCGCTCCCAGGCTGAGAAGCTGGGCACTGGGCAGGAAGAGGCCGAGGAGTCCAAGCAGAAGGTGGCAGTCAGCCCCACCCTGTCAGTCTCTCCTGAGATGTAAGGGCCAGTTTTAACGTGTCTCTTCCCTGTTCTCCATTGTGTGTGGGTGGCTTTAGTGCCCATCCACTCTTGGTTGCTGGGGAGAGGATGCTGTGGACCAAGGGGTGGAGTGGGGGGAGAGTGAGTGTCCCCTTGGTTCTGTGAGCAGCCTTGAGACCCCTAGGCAGCCATCACTAGTCCTCGTGTGGGTTAGCTTAGGTCCCCAGGGCTCCCCTCATCAAAACTTGGGGTACAAGAGTGGAAACAAGGGGGTTCCTCTTGGGTCATTAGCAGAACCCCAAAGGTTTTATTGAGATATTTATATACACGAAAGTACACAAATCTGAATTGTACAAGTCAACGAATGTTTACATATATATACACACCATGTAACCAACACTCAGATGAGATGGAGAACATTTCCATCCCTCGAGAAAGTTTCCTCATGCTCCTTTCCTCTAATCCACCTGTCCCAGGTCACTACTATTTTGGCTTCTGTCTGGTAGATTTGTTTTTTCAGTTCTCCAACTTCATTTAAAGGAATTATATGGTATACGGTATATATCATTTGAGACTGGGTTTGAAGCTCACTTATGTGAGCTTCACTTAGGTGGTTGCACAGAGCACTTCTAGAACTTAGAAATTGTTTAGCTTTTCTTCTCCCATTTTCACCCTCCCCTCTCTTACCCCTTTTTACAGATGAGGAAACAGGCTCAGAGAGGCAAAGGGTCACATTGCTGGTTGGTTGCAAAATTAGGACTAGATTCTAGTCAGTAGGGTTATAGATTTCTGACTTTTAGTCTGCAGCCACTGTTCCTTTTCTGTACCTGGAGAGAGACAGGTGCAGGGTTATACAATTTTTCCCATCTGTGAACTGAGTAGTACAAAAGAACTAGAGTCTCAAGGATTTGGGGCTGACTGTTGAGCAGAGACAGGTTCATCCACTAATTGCTCACAGAAAGTGTCACCAAGACCTGGCAGGGCACATGAACTTATGATCTCATGTCATCACTGTGGCACTGCAGGACTGATGCAGGGAAGGGATAGCCCCATTTTTAAGGGGGCGATGTATCCCACAATGACAGCTCTAACCTTGAGGAATGACATGGCTTTCCCAAGTGTCCTTGGTGCCTGTGGACAGACAGATCAGTGTGCTTTTTATGGGGACAGGAGGTGAGTGTAGTTCAGAGAGAAGACCCTGTGGGCAGAGGTCAGAAGTCAAAGAGTTTCTACCTGGGCCTTCTGGGAGAGAGCTGGGCAGTGAGAGGAGCCAAAGCACCTTTGTGTTTCTCCTTTGTCCCAGTGAGGCTGCCCCTGCCGAGGTCTCAGGAAAATTTTCCTTGACAAATTTACAGTATTCATAGGCAATGTCATTTGTTCCTTTCCTGAACCTTTTCAGGCCCCATAACTTCCTTGTCATTATCTTTACAACTACATTAGGAATGGATTGATTTTCTGGGTTTTGTGGGGAGTAGCTTGGTGTCTCTGTCTCATTTGTACCTATGGGTTTTTAATTTGTGGAGGTGACTGAGAAAACAGACCAATGTCACTGAAAGAAGAATTTGTTACTAACATTTCCAGAGAGAAGAAGGCATGCCATGTCACGCAGGGCCACATGGGTAAGGACCAGGGCTAGTCAGGAGGCAGAGGAAGTGAGAAGGGAGAGCATGGCCCAGAACTTTTCTTGTTTTTTTTTCTTTTGTTTGTTTGTTGTTTTTTTGTGGGAGGAATGAGTGAAGTAGCATAAGTACCCTGAGTGAGTGTAGGATGGGATGGGTTGAGCAATTTTGTGGATTTTGGGTTAGGGGTGTCCTCTAGTTGCCTGGTACTTGGTCCTGGTTGATTTAGTGTAGAGAAGTATTGGCTTGGTGTTGTGAGTTAGATAAGGAGATGTGAGAGTTAGATAGAGTCAGGATTGGTTGGTTTGCATATGACAGACATGTTCCCTTTTGTGTCGGTAAGAATTGGCTAGTCCTGGGAGGGGCAGTCTCCCCTTGACCAGCAAGCTTTTTAAGATGTCGAAACTTTCTAAAATACAGAAAATAGGAAAACACGATTAATAGAGTATGCCAACTTTCATAGATGTTGTAAAACTGAATCAGAAGGAGTTACGAACAAAGAGTAGGCCAGAGAGCATGGGCAGGGCTAGCAAGAAGCCACCGATGTGCATGCTTTATGGCCAGAAGGCCTGGGTCTGGGAAACAGGGATGTTCTTCCCTTTGTCGTTGCAGCATCTTCCTTCGCGTGCTTGTAGAGAGAGGGTAGCTGAATTAAAACCACTAGGTTGATTTGAGAAGAGACAAGAACTCAGCTTCAGTAGTGTACAACCATTTCAGAATGTCCGGGTGCCATACCTTCCTCCTTCTTCTCCCTCCCTGCCTTCCCTCCTTGCTTTCCTTTCACATTTCTCAGAGCTACTTGATGGCCACCCTGAAATGACCATGCTTCTGCAGAGCCTCCTCTTGGCCACTAACTGTTAGAAATTTGGTCTCACTGATGCTAATACCTGAGGAATGGCCTAGAAATCAGACCTGCCTCTTCCTCTGGAGTCCTCAACTTCTCAGTCTTCTCAAAGATCTTTCACACGCATTGTTGACTGCCTTGGACCTAAGCTGGCAGTTTAGGATACTAGATCTTCCAAATGGGAACACAGCGAAGAGGCTCACTGAAAATAGGCCCATTTGCCTGCAAGCCAGGTATGCAAGCCAGCTCACTAGTATGTGTAGACTGGGCACATGCTACCACACCCTCTGATGCCCCATCTTTCTGTAGCATCTGTCCCTAGGGCTCCACATAGCATCACAGCCCACAGGGGAGAGAGACATTAAAAGGTGCCATCTCAAGATTAAAAGATGTTTTCAGCCAAGGTTGGAAATGAGTTGGAGGGTTGATGAGGTGGAGAGCTGCAGGGGGAGGCTCTTTTCAAAGGCAGGATTCTCAGAGGAGGTGGCAGCCACATCTCTTACGTCTGCATCAGTTGGGCTATGTCATGGGACTGAGAGGAAGCTAGGAATTGGAAGGAGGGGGAGATGGAGCTGGGAGCAGAAGAGAATTGAAGGCAGAGCTCAAGACTGTTTCTGGTCTGAGTTATAATTTTAGGAAAGGGGGAAGGAAAGATTTTAATGGTATTTCAGAGACATCAGTGGCCTTTTATGTCTTCCTTCTCTCTCTGATCTCAAGGGGCCAAAATGAAATTCCAAAGGCCTTGTTTTCTTCTGCTGTTCTAATCTTATTCCGCACGCTGTCTTCCATCTGCTGCAGTATTAGAGCTTGAAGGAGAAGCAGGTTCTGTGACCCCAGCAGGGAGACTGGCTCCCCTTTTTCACTCTTGCCCCAGTGCTCCTTGATTTGGACCAAAACCACATACTACTGAGGTTGATTGGGCCACTGTTCCAGGCCTGCCACAGCCCTGAGCCCTGTGGAAGAGTGGTTGGTAGTTGTATGGTGAGATCAATTCCTAACATAAGATTTAGGTACCTGGGAATGCAAACACATACTGGCCTTTAGGAAAGCCACTCTGGGAGGCAAAATACTTATGCTTTCATTGTCCCAAATGTTCTTAGGGTTTCTCTTTGGGTGTTTCCTTCATGAACCAGAGTACAAGCAACAAACAATGGTTCTTACATTATAGGCATCTTTGTAACCAATACCATAAGTCCTATCTTACCACCCAACCTTATGCATCCAGGTTAGCTCTGAATTTCTTTTACCTACTTCCAAATATTGAATTAACTCGAAGCGGATGAAAGAGTGGCATCATTGGGGAGATATAGAGCATAGCATTCCTGTTGTGCTCTTGCTACATTCTTTGGCTTAGGGAATGGTCTCTTGCCTGGCTTTCTTGGCAGTGTGGGATGGGGGTTTCCTGTTCCTGGGCCTCCATAGACTATTCTAGGTCTCAGGGCTACAAAAAATGCTGCTGCTTGTCCTACTGGCTCTTATGCATTGGCCTCTGTTCAGTTTGGGAGGCAAAGAACAGCCTCTGGGGACTTTCCAAACTGCTGACATGAGCCTCAAGTAGCAGGCAGAGCTCTAGTGGGGAGACAGTAAAAGGGCTTTTCTGTCTGAGCCATTCTGGGGACGAATCCGTTAGGGATAGCACTTTAATCCCTCCCTGCTGCTGCCAGCTCTTGAGCTATTTCTTCACCTTGGGCTATAACCTACCAGGTCCACTGAGAGAATGCTATGGGCTTCCCTTCTCCCTAGGCTTTTGAGGCGTTAGCCACAGTGGGGTTTGTCCTGTAGAACAGATGGTGCTTGTTATGTCCAAGAGGGGCAGCCTTACTGCTGGCCCTTGTGTGACCTGATTGGCATATGTGATTCCTGATTATGGGTGCTCCATTAGGATTCTGTATGTGATCTATAGCTGTATAAATTCTGATGCCAAAAGGTAAATGGATATTAAAACTAAATAAACGCTGTTTCTCACCCTTGGTAGGCAATCTCCAGAGCTTGCGGCTTCTCTAGAGCTTGCGGCTTCTCTGGAGCTTGCGGCTTCCCCAGAGCCGCTCTCAGAGGCTGCCCTGAAGGCCATGGAAGAGGCAGTGGCCCAAGAACTCAAGCAAGACCAGAGGCAACTTCTAGAATTGAAGCAAAAGAAGATGCAGCAGTTGCGGGAGAAGCTGTGGCAGGAGGAGGAAGAGGAGATCCTCCAGCTTCACCAGAAGAAAGAGAAGTCTCTCAGGTCCTGCCCCTCCCCTTGATAAGCTGCTCAGGGCCTCACAGTGATGTGGGGAGTGGGGGACATCTTCTCTCGCCCCGGAGACCACAGGGATGCCCGGGGCCCTGCCAAGACTCCTCACTGGCCTGTGTGGAGGAATAGGCTCCCTTGCCAAGGATCATGACCCCTCCTCTTATTGGAAGAGAGTTGGGAAACATGATCTCTAGCTAACATTTTTTGACAGGTTATATTGATCCATGTACTTTATATCTATTACTTTGTTTAGTCCTCTGAATGGCTCTTATAGGGTATTGATATCAACCCCAATTTATAGAATCTATAATTGATAAGAAATGAAGAAACTGAGGCATGGAAAGGGACGACACTAAGGAGCAGCGGAGCCGGGCTTCACTCAGGTGGCTTGTCTCTGAGGCTCGTTTTCTTAATTACTACATTGTTCTTTTTGGGAGTCAGGGCCTGGCTGGGACCCAGTGAGATTGATAGGGACCACATGATGCAGTGTGAGGTGCTCTTGCTCAGGACCCAGAGGTTTCTATTTGGGTTTGAGTAGCTGGTTGGGAGGTCCTAGACAAACAAGACACTTAAGCCTGGGCAGGGCCTGAGTGTATGCGATTGTGTGTGTGTATATATTCGGGACCTCTGTGCTAGCTCATTTAAAGGAGTTTTCTTGGAAACTACCCAATAATTTTCACATCTATCTCATTGGTTACCCCTGGTTGCAGAGGAGACTGAGAAATTTAGTCCTTTAGCTGGGTCTCTTTACATGAGAGAATAAAATCAGGGTTTTGTTAGTAAGGAATATGAGAGAATGGATATTGAGATGTTAACAAGCAATCTCTGTCACAGTCCCATGGGGAAAGTGCTACAAAAAGGTGTTAATGTAATTCACTTATTTGGCAATTTAACTAAAGGCTAAATTTTATCCTCTTGGACAGAACATCCAAAAGTAGTAGAGACTTTTTTTTTTTTTTAATATATATATATTATAGATAACAAAGACTGTATAAAACATTCATGCTTAATTTAGAGATGCTAACAGAAAACCAACACCTGACTACCAGAGGGTTGGGGACAATCTCAGCCCAACACAGGATCCGCTGACCCAGTGCCCTTATATCACCCCTCCTGGATCCTCTGCCAGGGAGCATCCCACAAAGCAGATCTCCCCACAGCATCTTCCTCTTCTAGCTAACTGAAAACTGAGGCAGGGGCCCACCCAAACAGGGTGGGGCTCAGCTCGCTTTGAGAGGCAGCGCTTAGGAGAGGATCCTGGCGGTGGTTCCCTGCCAGCCCACCAGGCTCTTCCTCTCTTCCTGGCCCTACCCTGGGCTTGCCTGACTGGGCTTTTTATCCCTCTCCAAACCACTCGCAACTCCAGAGTGTCCAAGAGCCCTCTTGGGTTGTGGTGAAGACTCGCGCGCCAAAAGTATGTGACTTAGGACCTGCAACACAGTTTTTGCTCAAATAATGGTAGTTCTTATTTTTATTTTCAGTTGAAATCAATATGGTTTCAGTGGCCTTGACTAAGTGATTTCTCTGTGGGCATTGCCTTGCCTGGCTCCCTTTGAAATAGTTCATCATGAGAACTCTGTTTCTCTTTATACATAAGCCTTGCTGAGAGGCGGGGCCTCCTCTCTGCTAGGAAAGTTTGACTTGGTAGAAATTTCTGGAAGCAACACTGACCTTAGAGCAAATATTTCTTGAATGAGCAGGCAAGCTGACCCTTATTTTCTTTAGTTGTAAAATGACGAGTTTAGTTGTAAGACGAAGAGAGAGAGAGTTGTAAAATGAAGGACTTAACCTCTAAAGACCCTTCCAGCTCTAACATTCTGTGATGCTATGTGTAAAATTTAGCCATAGGACAGAGAAAGGGTTTCTGGAGAATCTAGAAGAAAGGATTTTTACTTAACTCAAATTTTCTGTCATAGTGGAAGGGAGCAGTGCTGCTGGGAACTTGAAATAGAAAACAATCCTAAATCTTTTTTGGCTTTGGAATTCATTACAGAAGCTTCTCAAAGAAATTGTCTTCTGAATCTTTTTTTTTCTTAGGCTTGAATTCCCTGAGTGTACAGCACACAGCCCTGGTCATGTGGGGGCTGCGTGAGGAGGATGTGGTTTGTGTAAGCAGAGGGATGTCTGCTTGGAGTGAAATGGTTACTATTGTTAGTCTATAAATAAGATACCCTCATAGATAATCAAAGCTCGCTTATATTTGGGGGGGTGGGTGATATTGTTCAAATTCAACATTTATTGAGTACCTACTTCATGTAAGTTATTGTGTTCAGCACCTAGGATAGAACAGATTTTAAGACAAGATTTCTTTCTCTGAAGAACCTCCCTGACTTGTAAGGAAAACAGACATACAAAAGATTAATTATGATGCAGTATGATGCATGGTACAGAGTGGTATGGGATAAGAAAGGTCCCCATATATTGTGTGATGGGAACAGAAAGGCTAATTGATGAATTTGGAGGAAGTAAGAAAGACTTCTCTGAGAGGAGTGAACTAGGTGTTGAATGACGAATATGGATTTGTCATGTAGAAAAGGGCATTCTAGGCAAGGAACCAGCGTGAACAAAGGCCAAGAGGCAAGAAAAAGAGTATGGTGGGATTTAGAGGTGGTGGCTTATCTGATGTGGCTGGAATAGAGCCTGTGGGGTGGGGAGTGAAAGGATATGGAACCAGAGTCAGGCTGGGGTCAGACTGTCCATCCTTGAGTGAACTTGGAGGCAGAAGGGAGCCTTTGGAAGAAACACTGTTTTGGGATCAAGCAGCCTATAATCTGTTTCCTGTGGCAAAGGGCAAGTGGATTTCATGTCCCCCTTTACCCTGGGAGATATTATAGGGAGGCAGCAGGACCCAGAGGCTGCGGTTAAGTTCATCCTTAAGATTTAGGGAGCTTCACAGGCAGTTTATAGGCTTTTGAGGCTGAAAGCCGGGGATTATGACTAGAAGAGGAAACACCTTTGGAGCTTCCAACAAACTTGCCTTTTCTTTCCTTCCCAGTTCACTGAAGGAGCAGTTGCAGAAAGCCACTGAGGAGGAGGGGACTCGGATAAGAGAAGAGGAAAGCCAGAGGCTGTCCCAGCTCCGGGCCCAGGTCCAGTCCCGTGCAGCAGCAGATGAGAACCAAATCAGGTGAGTGCCTACTATAAGCTGCCCAGCCCCGTGGAGGGGACCACCCTGAGTACACTGGCCCATTACCATTCCCTTCTCTCTGCCCAGGGCCGAGCAACAGGCTTCCCTGCAGAAGCTGAGAGAGGAGTTAGAGTGCGTACAGAAGGCTGAAAGGGCCAGCTTGGAGCAGAGAAACAGGCAAATGCTGGAGGAACTCAAGGAAGAGATGGAGGCTTTGGAGAAGAGAGAACAAGCTTCCCTGAATGCTGAGAAAGAGAAGGCTTTGCAGCAGCTAAGGGAGCAGCTGGAAGGGGAGAGGAAAGAAGTGAGCAAGTAGAGTGGAGACTCTTCCCCTCTGGCTGCTCCCTGGGCTGCCTGGGGAGGGACTGAATGGAGAAGAAGAGCCAGTCTTGCGCATGCTTGATGGGGAGCCTGGTGGAGAGTGGGTGTCTGCACAGATGCGTGTGGAGATGGTCGGCCCATTACTCTGGGTGGATCCGGCTTGTCTTAGGGCAGGTGCTAGCCCTGGTCCCCAAGACAGAGCGGAGGGTACTGCAGAGGTCCAGAGGCCCCTCTAGGGCCAGCTGGGCCAGCAGCAGTGTTATCAATGGCAGTGAAGAAGTTTAAGGGGAAATGACTTGTGGATTTAAGATTTCATGACTGAAAGAACTTAGACTAGAGGTCCTGCGACAGAGGTGCCCTTTCCCTGTCCTTGTTCTTCAGGGGCAGCCGTGATTACCTTTTATCTTTCTCCTTTTCTCTCCTGCCATAGAATGAGAGGTTAGCACACTTAGAGTTTTTTCTCCCTTGTCCTTACTCCTTGTCCCTCTGATCTGATGGTCTGTCTCTAGGTAAGAGGCTGAAGTAAGTAGCAGGCCATGTGGAACTTCTGTTTTCTTTTGGTGGAGAATGGAGCTTTGGCTCTGTTACAAGGAGAAGCTTCAGTAGGGTCTGGGGAGAACGTTGTACTGCAAGTACTCCGGGCAGTTATGCTAAAACTTCCAGCCCTCCCTGCCTGGGGTCTCGTTCATAGGCATGAGCATCACCGTGTGCCTGTGGCCTAGCCCAGAGGCAGGGGTTTGGAAGCAGTGACCTGAGGTTCATTGCTCCTCCACTCTGGCCTTCATGTTCCTGTTCATTTCCTAGTTGCAGACTTTAGGGACTGAATTATATTGGAGGAACAAAGATGTGCCTGTGGTTCCCCTGAGCCCCCTTAGCTCGAGGGGTATGGGAATGGATTCCTGGCTCTTCCTTCCTCCAGAGTCAGTGCCCAGCCAGTCTTCCCTGCCCTGCATCCTTCACAGGCTCTTTGTTGTTCCCCAGGCAGTGGCAGCACTGGAGAGTGAGCACAGAACTCAGCTGGAGCAGCTCTCTTCCTCGCTGGAGGCCAAACACAGAGAGGTGAGATGCTGCCGGCCTGGCCTGTAAAGCAGAGCCTGGGCAGCCTGGTCTCTGAGTATAAGCATCACGGCCCCTTCATGACTAATCCTCAGAACTCATACCCATCTCTGCCACAAGGGAGGAGGCTTCTCTCTCCCCATAGTTCATGAGGAGGGATACTAGGTCCCTGGGAAGTGAGTTTCTTATGGCCACTCTGCAGTGCTCTCTGTGCTTGGGCCTCCTCAGGTGGTCTCCAGCCTCCAGAAGAAGATAGAGGAAGCTCAACAGAAGGAGGAGGCCCAGCTGCAGGAGAGCCTGGGGTGGGCAGAGCAGAGAGCTCAGCGGAAAGTTCACCAAGTGCTGGAGTATGAGCAAGAGGTGAATGCTGGTCTGCTTCTTTGGCTTTGTGTGTGCCTGTCATGGATGCTCTGATAGTTGGCCGGGCTATTGTCCAAGGGGTCTTCCACTTTGCTTTGGATGGCTCAGCTGTACTTAGAACATCTGGTTCCCTTTTTATGTCTTAGTTCCGCTGAGGACAGGTGCTGTTCCACCCCCTGCCCCTGTATGCATGTGGGGAGGGGATGCTGGAGTATTGCTGTGTATATATCATGTGTCATGTATGTGTGATATGTATGTTTTGTGTGTCGGGGAGGGGGAACACTGGGGAGGTGTGCATATGTTGCATATGTGTATGAGACCTTTAAGTGCTTCAGCCCTCGAGTACTGGTCTACTCTCAGTCCTGCATGTTGTATGCCTATCGCCTGCCCTGCAGCTCAGTGGCCTCCTGAGAGAGAAGCGCCAGGAGGTAGAAAGGGAACATGAGAGGAAGATGGACAAGATGAAACAGGAGCACCAGCAAGTGGTGGCTGAGGCCAGAGAGCAGTATGAAGCTGAGGTGACTTGGTCCAGCATGCATGCTTGCATGCGCGTGCGCGTGCATCACACACACACACAGGCCCTTCCTAGCTGGCTAGAGAGCAGGGGAAGGGGACAAATTGTGGTCAGGGCTTGTGGGAGGCTTTCTTCCCTGGCCCCCTGCAATGGTAAAGTCATTTTTGCCTTTTTAACTAAAGCATTAGATTAGGAGTGCTTCCTCTCCATCAGGCAGGCTGCATTATCCTCTCATGGTAATAATAGCTAACATATTGAGCTTGTACTATGTGCAAGCACTGTTCTAAGCTCTTTATTAACTCATTCAGTCCTCATAACACCCTTACAAGGTACATACTATCATTATCTCCATTTTAAAAATGAGGAAACAAACTTGGGGAGTATAAGCAACTTTCCCAAGCCCACTCTGGCTAATAAGCAGAGGAACTATGATTCAAGCCTAGACTGTGTGATTCCAAAGCCTTCAGCTTTAACCACCCTAATACCATGCCACCAGGGTAATCAAAATTCCAGGACCAAGAAATAGATTGCCAAGAGCAAAACAATATGTAAGTATTATCTGCCCATCTTTAGCCCTTGGCTGGGAAAGTTCAGTTATCTAAGTGGCTCTACTCCAATTTGTCTTGTTCCTATTGGGGTGAACATTTGTGGGGTGGCTGACTTTCCCCCACAGCTGGGCCTCTGCCTGGGACTTCTAAGCTGCTGCCCCAGGGATTGTATCCCAGACACTTTGTACAGTCTTTCTCAGCACAGAAATAGCAGGCCGTGAAGAAATGTAGTTGACTCCCTTCCCAAACCAATTCTGACCTTGCTGAAGAATAGTGATAATTTATTAATGACCTCTCTTCCCTAGGGAAGGGTAGCTGTACATAATGGAGCAGTAGAAGCAGCAGCCTACAGGGGCATTTCCTCATGACATCTGACCAGCCTCTGCTTCAGCAGCAGAGGGGGTGCAGGCTTTCTGGGGGAGTAGGACCATGCTATCTTTGATGCTCTTCTTCTCTAAGAGCTGGCCTTAGGGAACTGATGGGGTCTTTGATCTTATTGACTCAAGGTGGCAGGGGTGGGGGGGCCACTGCATTTTCCCACCAGCGGCCCCACCCTCTGTGCAGGAGAGGAAGCAGCGGGCTGAACTCTTGGGTCACCTGACTGGAGAGCTGGAGCGCCTCCGAAGGGCCCACGAGCGAGAATTGGAGACTGTGAGGCAGGAGCAGGACAGGCAGCTGGAGGACTTACGGCGTCAGCACCGGGAGCAGGTGGAGGCTCTGGGTGGCCACTTGGGGCTCACCCACCAGACACCCCCATGCAGGGTAGAAAAATGCTGGGGGCAGCAGGACAGGATGGAGCCTGACAGCTTCAGGAGTGGGGGTGGGGTGGGGGAGTGGGGTCTTGCATTGGCCATCCCCAAGCTAGAGCATCTTTGCTCATTTGTTTTCTGGGCCAGGGCACATCCCCAGGATTAGAAGAGGAGGTCAGCCCCTCTAGGGCCTTGGGGTTGGTACCTTTGCTTCTCCTTGCCACCACCGGAAATAAACAAGGTGTGATGCTTTCCTGGGAGGCCACAGGAGCTAATGGGAGGAAGCCTGAGCCCATCTTGGAGGGTCTGCTATAGTATGGTGGGTCAGGGCCCCTTCTGCCCTTTCAGCTAGTGCTTTGTACTCTCTACACTTACATCTTTCTCTCCACCTACGCTTCTATGTAGGAAAGGAAACTCCAAGATTTAGAGGTAGAACTTGAAACCAGAACCAAAGATGTCAAGGCCAGATTGGCTCAGCTGGACATTCAGGTGAGGGAGTGGGAGTGGAAGACAGGATCTCCAGGTGTCCTTGACCTTGGAGTCATAGCTCCCCCAGAAGAACGGGCCTTTCTGTCCCTTCGACCTGGAAATGGCCAAGGGGCCCTGTTTCTTTCCTTCTCTGACAGGAGACTGCCCAGAAGGAGAAGCAGCAGCTCCTTGATGTGCAGAGGCAGGTTGCGCTGAAGAGTGAGGTTTGTCTGCCTCTCTTGGCCTCCCCTCTTTGTCTCTTCCCCTTTCTCTTTCCTTCTCCCCGCCGCCCACCTCACCCCAACACTCCACTTTTTGTTCACTTGATCTCTCCAGGGCATTGGGCTTATTTGACAAATAGTACCACTGTATGGAATCCAACTCAGGACCCTCAGGGAGTGGGGCTGTGGTGGGAGGACGGGAACCTGCACATCCTCTGACCGTGGACACAGAGACTTCACTGTGTCAGTTCCACCCTCTCTCCCTGCTCTTTGGGCCTCCCTGTCCTTTAGGGTTGCCTGTTCCCTACCGTCTTCTCACTGTTTCTCCAGGTGCTTCTATCTTTTCTTCTGCTCTAGGAAGCCACAGCCACCCATCAGCACCTGGAAGAGGCAAAGAAAGAGCATACCCACTTGTTGGAGTCAAACCAGCAGCTCCGAAGAATTCTCAGTGAGCTTCAGGCCTGCAAATTGGAGCTGGAATCCCAGGTGGATCTGCTGCAGACCCAGAGTCAGACGCTGCAGAAACATGTCAGGTGGTGTAGGCATCCTGCACTTAGCCACCCCACTGCCTCTTGCTTGCCCGCTGACCTCTGCTGCTCATGGGCCCTGTCCACTCATGGCTAAGTTAACAGGCAAAGGAGCTATGTCTGCTGCATTTTGTAGGGGTTGGGAGGTGTTAGGAGGCTGTGAATAGTTGGGGGTCCCTGGTTTTACTGTTCAGGCCGCAGCCCTGCCTCAGGGACTTGACAGGAGTGAAAGGATGAAGATGGTCCTGCTCTCTACCTTCCCAGGAGTCCCAACTGTGTGCTGCCTGGCCTGTTTTATCATGTGATCCTCCTCACCTCCTCCCACCTCACACTCCCTTTTCCTACTACAGTGATCTGGAGGCGGAAGCTCAAAGACAGCGGGACACATTGAAAGAGCTGGCAGTCGAGAGTAATGCTTCTCCACATTTTGAGCCAGATCTCCACATTGGAGACCTACGAAAATCTCTTGTGACAGTGAGCTTCTCTATTCCTGGGACGGGTTAGGATGGCTGGGCTCCGGCACCAGAAGTGGGTAGAGCCTCAGGAGGGGGCAGGGCATCAGGAGGGGTCCTGGCTCTCTGCTCTGTGTAGGGCCTTAGCCTCCTGTTCTTATCATTTCCAATCTCCCATCTCCATCTGTCAAATGATATCTGTAAGTAAATAGTGCTCAGCAGCTAGCAGGGCTATTTGTGTGTAGGCCACTGGGAGGGAATTCAGGGTTCCCTGAGCCTGCAGTGTATCTGCTTTTGTTGCATTTGGTGGGTCTTTCTTACCATGTATTCTTAGAACCAGACCAAAGAGGTACCCTCTACTTTCTCCCAGAGCAAGGAGGAGACTGACTTGTCCTTGGACAGGTGAGTTCCCATAGTCTATCTTATTTTGGGTTGAGGATGAAATGGAGGGGTGAGTGCCTGTATCACAGTGCTGGTATAAACTAAAATGAGGTGACAGCGATCACCAGTGGAGCTTGGTTTAGGGAAGGGGACCAGGAGGATTGAGGAATCTTCTCTGGCAAGCCGAGTAGGTGCCCACTGAGTGTTAACACAGCCTACTGGCATCGGCTGAACCCCTGTTTGAGGGTCATGCTGATGGGAGCATCTGGCCATCTACCTGATGGTGTCAGGTAGGAGGACTCAGGGCAACACGCCCCATACTGTAGTATTTAATGGCGGCATTTCCTCACACTGCTCAGCCCCAGCCCTGTAATCTGCTCAAGATGGGCATCTGCTGGGGAAGTGGTCGGGCTCTTGGAGTCTTTGCTCACCCTCCCACCGCAGGCGTCCCTTACTCTGCCTGTCCCCCACAGCATCCGGCACTACTTCTCTGCGGAGGCGGTAGCTCTCCGCGGTGCCAAGGAGTTCCTGGTGCGGCAGACGCACTCCATGCGGAGGCGGCAGACGGCTCTCAAAGCGGCCCAGCGGCACTGGCGCCACGAGCTGGCCAGTGCTCAGGGAGCAGCCGAAGACGTGCCAGGCACTAAGACCTTGGATGATGTGCGCAAGGACCTGGAAGAGGTCAGGAGGGTGGAGGACAGCCTGCCAGCCCCACGAGGAGAGGGGAGCACTGGGGGAGGCAGGGAAACAGTCGCTTTGGGGCACGTCCTTGATTGTTCTGGTGATTCCATGAGAGTGTTCACATAGGCCCTGGGGTCACTGGACAATTCTTCTAGGGCAACTGGACAGGGGATGCAGGTTATGAAGCTCCATGAGGATGAAAGCGCCTTACATTTATGAGGCAATGCGCAGTGTGCAGAATGCTTTCTCTCAGTAAATCATTTGGTCCTTGCAATAACTATAGATGATGCACAAGGTAGTAGCATTATTCCCATTTTTTAGGTGAAGAATATAAGTAAGGTTTTTAAAATCCAATACCTTGCTTATCCTATCACACTGACAATTTTGTTCATAACTGAAAATCTTTTGAGTACACTCAGCATAAGACTGAGTTACTTGTACATTTCTGATACTCTAATTTGCAATGGAAAGGCAGTGACTTCATGGTTGTTATTATTAGTTGGGATCACAGATCTTTGAGGGTCCTGGCAGATCATACTAAGTCCCTTAGAAAGCTGATGGTGCTCAGAGCCGGTGAGCAAGCTTGGGGCCCTGTGGCCTCTAAGAATAGTGTGGGGGCAGCAGAGGGCAAGAGGCTTCCCAGGGGATGTACATGCTACTCCTGCGCCACCATTGCTCCTCCAAATCCCTCCTTGATGATGATAGTGGTGATGATAATAACCATTTGGTTAACAGTAACCATTTGAGAATTTATTAGGTATGGGCATAGCACTCAACATGTAACATACTCTATCTCATTTAATTTTCATCACCCTATGAAAAGTAATATTTCTCTTAGATGAGAATTAAGACTGAGAGTTAAGTCATGTTCAAGATTATCCAGCCAACGATGGCAAAGCTGGGACACCAGCATCTGTGTGGCAGTCACCACATTTCTCCTCCCCTTCCTCCTTGGCTGCAGGAGACCAGACACCTGAATGAGATGAAATCAGCCATGCGGAAAGGCCACAACCTGCTGAAGAAGAAAGAGGAGAAGCTGAATCAGCTGGAGTCCTCTCTTAGGGAAGAGGTGCAGTCCTATGGCCATGTAGCCTTGTGCCCACGACCGCCTCTTCTGTTTCTAGGATGTGGTTGGGTTCTTTGGGCCTGTGTCAGGGAAGCTGGGCCTCTAGGGCCCAGGATTGTAGGCTTAGGGCTCCTGGGCTGGTGAAAATGGCAGTGGCTTCAGCTTCGTGTTTGGGTGTTTGTGCCGAGTGGTCCCGAGAGACCCAGAGCCTCTTGCTGAAGGTTCTTGAGGATCTAGCTCCTGCCCTTCCCCTGCCATGGTACCTGATGACCATGGTATTCTCAGGGTGTTGGGAATAGATGCACCTAGAAGGTTTCCCTACCTTCCCTGGGGCCTTGTAGACTTTCCCCTGGATGCCTAAGGAATGGATGTGTCTGGAGGGAAGCTTAGGTGGAGAGACACTGCAGGGAGAGTTTATTAGGGGGAAGGGTGGGCATCCGTGTGGTCCCGGTGGCTCAGGTAGTTGAGTTCTCTCAGCCCAGCCTCCTTCCCACACCCCTTGCAAGACAGCCCGCATGATGTTCCTGTCCCAGGACTTTGGGTCTCAAGGAGTCCACCTACCAAGTGCTCAGTCCCTACACCTCACAAGGGCAGTGGGCAGAAAGCCCAGGGAGAGTACCAGTAATAACTGCTGCTTTTACCCATAAGGCTTCAGATGAAGACACTCTGAGAGGAGCCCCCACCAAGAAAGTGGTGACCTTTGACCTCAGCGACATGGAAGACATGAGCAGTGAAAGTTCTGAATCCTGTCCCTTGCCTCACAGTGAGTGGTGGCAGCAGGGTAGAGGGGGAGAGGGAGGACCACAGTTTCCATGGAGAGGGAAGAACTTGGAGAATAGAGGTAGAGCCCCCTTCCCTCAGCCTTGTGTGGGTAGGTCTGTGGGAGCCAGTGTCTGGAGAAGGTACTCAGTAAATTCTTGGGAAGGAGTGAACCAGCGTGGCTTTGCCAGCACACAGGGCTGAAAGGATCCAGGAAAGCCTTCCGAATGTGCAGGGCGCTTTACAGTGAGAAGTGTTCCTGTTCGCCGCTCCCTTCTAGTGTCACTTTCTGGGAAAGTATTCTCCTTCTGCCGCTCTGGCTTGCAAAGGACCCTTTCCTACTTCTCCAGGGCCAGCCTCCTATTGCACCATCACGAACACAGGCCCTGCCACCCCCCATTCCCCAAGTCAAGGCCAAGGGGCTGTTGTTTGGAGGAACGGGGAGGGGGCAGGCCAGTAGGGTGCCACATTGCCAGCTGGGCCCGGGCATGCTCCAGTGCCTGGAACCTAAGTCCTTCCTCATCGTCTGCCTCTTCCATTTCAGTCACTCTGACAGCAAGTCCTACCTTCCCCAACAAGATCCACTACTTGAGCAGCTCCCTGCAACGGATCAGCAGCCAACTAAACAGTGTCCTCAGCATGCTGGGCAGCCTCAGCACTCAGCCACCACCGCCACTCCTCACTTCCACCCCAGCGCAGAACCCTCCCTGGTCCTCCAGGAGCACTTCCATTCCCATCTACCCCTCCCTGGCCCAGGTCGCAGCCTCATCCCCTGCTACATCCATGTCTACGCAGTGGGCCTGGGACCCAGGCCTGGGCCCCAGGCTCTCCCCCTCTGTGACTCAAACAGTGGATGACTTTCTGGTGGAGAAGTGGCACAAGTATTTTCCAAGTAAGCCTCCTCATGGGCCAGTGTGGTGTGTATTCCTCCTCTTCCTTCTCTCTTTCTTCTCCTCTTCCTTTTTCTCTCTTTCTCCTTCACTTACCCTTTAACTCTACCCCTGCCCCTAACTTTGGCATGGTTCATTGAGCCATTGACTGTGGATCCCTGGGGAGAAAACCTTGCTGGTTGCCCTGCAGCTGGAGGCTCCATGGGTCATGATGGTTTGCCTGGAGCTTGGGCTGATTGGGACCTTTATGACTCCAGAGCTCAGCAGAACCTAAACGATCATTGTCATCATCATAATAGCTACCATTGTGTGCATTATATTATGGCCAGGCATTTTACTCCATAGAACATTTGTTTTACTCCATAGAACATTTCATTTAGCTTTTATAATAACTCTCTGAGGTAGTAATTATTTATCCCCACTTTACAGATGAGGAAACTGAGACTCAAGGAAGTTAAGTAATATTTTCCAGGGTGCCCAGTGAGTGAGCAACAGACAGGGTTTGACTCCATGTCTTTGTAACTCTAGGATTCTGTTTGTAACCCTTGGCCATATGGCTTCCCCCTGCTTCTGGGCTGGGTGGCCTCCCCTGGTGTCGTAGCACTGCTGAGGGATGTGAAAAGCCATAAAAACAGTTTTGGGAAAAAATTACATCTCCCCATATCAACCCAAATAGAAAAGTAGATTAAGTTTTAGAAATAAATACAACAATTCCTATTGGTCATCTTTCATTCAACCACTGAAAATTTCTGTTGTTTTTTTTGTGGGCACAGCCTTTTCAGTTATGGGGAGGCAGACTACTTGGGGCTGGGTCTGGCTCAGCTGAACTAATGCTCATTTTGAACCATTTCCTCCCACTTTCCAGCTGGAGTCCCATTCCTTAGCAGCAGCCCTGCCCCCTTGGAGAACAGGCTGGGTTATGTGTCTGCCAGGTAAGCCTCCATGTAGGTTCAGGGTGGAATCACACAGTTCAGCTGTTCACTGTGCATCCCTGAGCTGGCAGGACCTCTCAGGGGAACAGAACTCACGGTCGTTGCCCAGAGAGGTCAGCCAGGCCCCTAATCCACAAAGCTGCCTGGGTCTGAGGCACTCCTACAACCAGAGGAAAGTCCCAGTGGCGGGCAGGGCGTACCTGGCGCAGCTCCATGAGGAAGCTGCTCTGTGGCACCCTCTGGGAGAAATCAGCCCCTGGCCCCTCCAGCTCTGGAATGTGGCCTTTGTATCTGCCATTACACCCTTTGTCTGCTTCCTGCTTTCCTCAGTCCTGCTGAGTAACATCTGGAGCGAGAGGGGCACCCGTGGGGGAAACAGATGGGCAATTATTTAAACCTGTTATTAATTTCCCATTCATCTTATTCTTTGCCAAACGTATCCCCCCACAGCCCCCCCATCCATAAGTATACCCCCTTCGGCCAATTTTGAAGGTGGTGCTGGGCAGGTATTTGAGTTGACATTTGGGAGAACTTTTGCTGATGAGATTGGCCCAGAATTGGCGAATATGGGAACCTAGAGCCCTGATATCAAGAGTATTCACCCAGAAGAGGGTGGAGGGGTGTACCATTTTCATTTTTGGGAAGGTTCCAGAGGG